AAGCTGCCGACCCTCGCTCCCTCATCTCGCTGGCCTTGAGCGTGGCATATCGACCACGCACGACGTCCTGCAACTCAGCGCGGGTTAAATCACGCTTGGAAAGACTGGTGCGCTTCTCGACATCGTAGCGTGCGGGGAATTGGCGCACAAGGATCTGCACAACTTATTGGTCACTCTTAGCAATGCCCACAGCCCGTACCTTGGTCTCCAGTTGTGCGACGCGCGAGAAGAAAAGCTTGGGGTCCTCATCATCACTCATGGTTATATTATCTAGCTCGGCGACGAGGAGCTGACAATCAGCTGGGTGGTTCGGCAAATACCAATCCTCCATCATCCTCCACGCCTCTGCCACGGAATGGCAAGAGTACAGGTTGTTCTCAAATGGGGCCCCCACCGCTGCCTCCAAGATAAAACTCCATGTCCTCTTGTGCTCAACAACCAGCTGTGCACCATACTGGCNCCTCGGCGACGACGAGCTGACAATCAGCTGGGTGGTTCGGCACAAACCAATCCTCCATCATCCTCCACGCCTCTGCCACGGAATGGCACGAGTACAGGTTGTTCTCAAATGGGGCCCCCACCGCTGCCTCCAAGATAAAACTCCATGTCCTCTTGTGCTCAACAACCAGCTGTGCACCATACTGGCGTGTCAAGTATCCTTCATCCTGACAACTGACAACGGGAACCTCAGCACTGCAGAAGATTGTGTGCTGGAGAATATGGTTGTCCACGTAGGCCAGAAAGCGTCTCCGCCAACTGAGAAAGGTGTCGGCGGTGTAATTAGGCGGGATTCCAGGCACAGGAGTTCTGACAATTGTACCTCCCAGAGGCAAACCCGGCACCCTAGTACCGCCATCATGACTCATCCCGCCTGGCCACATTGGCCTCACCGGTGCACATGAAGCCCCTCCAGGAGCAACTAGACCGTTGCCTCCTGAGCTGCTGCCGGCAGGTGCACCCGCAGACCGCCGCTGTGATGCCCTAAGCTCCTCCGTCTCCGCTTTGGCCTCCTTCGNCAGCCTTGGCCTCCTCTATAGCTCGTAGCGCCTCATCCAACCTCGCGCTCAGAGTTGCGTCCTCCTCCGTTCCAGCCATATCAAACTAAAACTCTAAACCCTCCCTGCTGTCCCAGCCTCGAAGTGCTGTCCCAGCTATAAACCCTGCTGTCCCGGTCCCCGCAATGGCCACCGCACCAGCTATGCACTGCTGTCCTCGCCCCCTTTGGCCGCGATCCCAGCTATGAAAATGGTGTCTGCTGCCCCGATGGCCCAGCTCCCATCGCTCAGACGCCAATACCCACTACCAACACCAGGCCTTACAATATACTGTGCTTGGGTGCGGTAGCTCGTCAGAGGCCGAAAGAGAAAGAAGGTTGACTCAAGACCTTGTTGCTTAGAGAGTGAGAGACATGCGGTAGGCCACACCATCGCCATGCAGCATGTCCGTCAATACATTCCATCCGCGTACCCCCCGGAGGCCCCGTAGACAGTTTACTCTGCCGAACACCCCAAACAACAATGTTCCATTTTTGTGGATGCGTGAGCCTCTTGTCCCGAAGCATTCCAGCTCTGTTCATCAGACAATCAATGTGTTGAGGAAGTAATTAGCATCTTTAACGTCAAGGCGCAGCACGCATGCGCCTCGCCATCGCTTCCATCGTCTTGTCTCATCCAATGTACATGTAAGCATACCTCCTTAGCACCACGCGTTCGCGAGGATACAAAGGTCCAGGTAGCGTGTATCATGCTTTCCGTATGAGGCAGATAGAAGCAACCCAAACGTAAATACTTCGCTCCAACATCACAAATCACTTGTTAGACGTACTCACAGCATCGGCAGATTATTGCAAGCGAGAAATTTCCAAGCAGATGGAGCGGGGAGTTTGGGGTTTAGCAGTTGCTCTGGATTCGATTTGATGGTACCAACTTTGCCGCATATTACAGGATTGAGGGTGGGGGTATGTGTGTGTCGACAACGGATATGGTGATTGTGTGTTGTGGTTTCTCACTTGTTTTTCTTTCCTCTTTTCCTCCTTCCTAAGTGCAATCAAGTCCTTTTTCCCCGACTACCACGCTACCACGGCTATCACGCCACGACTTTCACGCCAATCCTGGCTATCACGCCACCCGGCTATCACACCTTCCGGACATCCACGTCCTTACATATTCCTTTACACCACGACTATCACGTCACCAGGCTTCCACGCCACATCCAGAGATACCATACCCGAGCTATCACGCTCAATCCCAAAGTAGAAGGCTGTCACGCCCATCATTGTTCCTACACTGTACCGTTGGCGGCTACAGCGCCGCTGGCTCTTTTATTTCCCAACCAAGGGGGACCCCGCGGGCCAAGGCACCGACGCACAAAGCTACTCAACACGCTAGAGTAACGATCAAGTGAGTCGCCGCCGTGTCTACGCGCGCAACATGCCGAACGGAGACGGACGACAACCTCCGGGGGGATCAGGTCAGGCTGTCCCTCCCCCCGGGGGAAGGCGTCGCGGACGGAGGAGTGAGCGATTCTTTCTTCGTCAACGATGCACGAGACCGAGGGGGTGCGCTAGCGGCAGGAGGGGAAGATCAGCACGACACGATGCGTGAGCTGGTTGACGTCTTCAAGCAGGCCTTGGCGACATTAACTCATGACCAGGGGCACCGTGCCCACTCAGGCACGTCTAGCAACCAGATCTTAGAACTGAGGCAGAGAGAAAAGATAGATGTACCAGTATGGAGTGATGACTATCTGAAGAACAGATCGATTGAAGTTGCATTGCGAGCGTTCACGATTGCTTTTGAAGCGTGGCTGGAGAGTGAGGGACTTGCTGGTGTGATGAGGAGTTCAGAGGTCCCTGTTGGTGCAGCTGGTGTGGATTTGAGCAGCACGTTCGGAGAGGAGAGAGTGAAGCAATCCAGGAAGATTTGGACGTTTATGCTAGCTAAGATCACACCACAACTCTTACAAGCCCAAATCTTGGCATCAGAATCACCTCAAGCAGGGTACCGCGTGTTTCTCGAACAATACAGCCAAGACAAGAGTCAGGAGCGACAAACTCTTGACGACGCATGGAACGTAATAGGCCAGAGGCAAGGAGAGAGTCTTATGGACTATTACGGTAGGGCAGTTGCGCTGTGGATGAGAATTCGATCGCATGGTGATAACAGGGATGAAAAGTCGATGTGCAGGCACATAGTCCGGGGATTTATCCCAAGGTTTGAGAAAAATAAAGACCGTCTTCTGTTTGATTCGATGTTGTCGAGGGCTACAATGCAGGAGATGCTGAGGTTGGAAGAGCACGAGCTGAGGTACGAGCGGAGAACTGGAGAGGGGAAGGAAGTGATGAGGCACGCCCTCGTCGCTGCCGGCGTGGGCCGGGACGGCGAGGCGGGGGAATCAGCCGCTGCAGGATCGGAGTGAGGCGGACATCGACTCCAGCAACCACAGAGGTCGGTGCAGCCACATCAGCAGCAACCATCGCACTTCTGCCAGCTCCACGGCCCCAACAGCACCCACGAGACCTCCGAATGTCACAAGTTACGCAACGAATTCCTCGCCCACTACAACGAGTTCTGCGCGTACATGAGCGGGAGGCGGGAGGCCCNGCAGCCACATCAGCAGCAACCATCGCACTTCTGCCAGCTCCACGGCCCCAACAGCACCCACGAGACCTCCGATTGTCACAAGTTACGCAACGAGTTCCTCGCCCACTACAACGAGTTCTGCGCGTACATGAGCGGGAGGCGGGAGGCCCGGTCCTCGACGCGGAGCCCAAAACTCGGGACGGATGGTTGATGGCCCATCTCGACAGCAGCCGTACCAAAACGAGCAAGCTGCGGGCTGGAGTCGGAGCCACTCTCCAGCGCTGCCGGGACCGCCGCGTGGGCAAGGACCCGGAACTGGAGGACAGCTGCAGGGGCGCAACTCTGGGGGGCGTGGAAATGGTGGATACGGTCCTTACCCCCCGAAGAGCCGAGGTCGTCAGATGGGCGGCCGTGGTGGTAATTATCCGCCGCCCAACGTTCCTCCCGCGCAGATTGCCAACGTACCACGGCCCTATTTTCCGGCTCATTTCGCCATCGGAGGCGGAGAAACATCAAGCGACGACATCACCTCGGGATGGGAGGCCACGTCGGCGCCCGGATCTACACCCAGCTAGACCCCACCACCTCCTGAGGCAGGCTACGGGTACGGGCTCGCGGCTCACGGCGTGGACCATGGCAGCGGTCCCTACGGCAGCGCCGCCGGCGGGGGACACGGTTTCCACCCATTCCCCGACGGCGGAGGGCTCTACCAGCAGCAAGAAGTGAGCAACGTACCACGCTACCCTTCTGCTGCTGAACCGGACGCCCAACAACCGCGAGCCTACGAGGCCTTCGACACCTCGCAGCAGCATGAGCAGCAGCAGCGCTACGGTGCACTCCAGGCGATCTCTTCCTCCTCCTCTCCCTCGCCTGCTCCAGGCGGCGCTCTACCTCCAGCCGGCGATTCCCCCTTGCATCTCTTCGTGGCACGCGGCGTGTGCCCTCTAGGCAAGTCTGAGATTGATCTTGAGAAGGTTGTTGATTTTTCGATGTCTGACGTGTTCACGAGTGCGGAGTCTGATGTGTGAATGCCTGGTGTTCCCCGCGTGCCTGCTGTGCATGAACGTTCTGATGATGAGTTCGGTGTCTCGAAGTTTGGTGTGTCTGCTCATGATGTACCCCGCGTGCCCCCTGTACTTGAGAGTCCGGATGAAGTCGTCGGCGTTTCGGAGTATGATGCATCTGTCCCTTCTGTACCAAGTGGGCCTCGAAAGGTAGTCGTAGCCCGTCTCACCCGCCGTCGCACGGTTGAAGCTTTCTTGTGCCAACCCTCCATGCTGAAGCCGATTGGTAGTGAACAATGGCAGGCCGATTCTGGAGCTAGTGCAATGATTTCGAACAAAGTGGATGAAATGTACAATGTACGCCACTTGGCCCCGGATGAACAATTCATACAGACTGGAGACTCGGCTCTCATCAAGGTTACCGCTGTAGGGAGTTTGAACCTTAGGCTCCATCAAATCGGAGCCGACGGGAAACAGGAGGACTTGGACGTCACTGTGCCAGACGTTTTGTTTGTACCCGGGTGTGGTTTCAACCTTTTCTCGGTATGGAAGGTGTCTCACAAGCATGAGGTCCGTATCAACCCCAACGGTACGCAAATGATGCACGGAAAACTGCGTTTTATCTGGGGCGTTTCGAGCGATTCCCTTTTTGCAACCCGCCTTCCCCACAAATCCCTGCCTTCTATGGACGTTGCGAATAAGAGTGCCCGTGAGAGTTCTTTTTCCTTTGTGGTATCGGCTCTCACAGCCGCGACGGATTCCGATCTAGAACCCCCCCGTGTGACGGATGCTGTAGCGGAATACTCGGCGAAGATGATTGATGTGTTGAAGAGTGAAGAGTGTGAACGCGCTATGGCTGTGTTGGGTCCGGGGAAGACACCTTTCAATGTCGGCGATGCACAAATGGTAATGGATATTAACACGTTCCACAACCGTGCCGGCCACTTGTCCGAACCCATTTTGAGACTGTCCGCGAAGCAGCGCGGGATTACCCTCATGGGCACGATGGACAGCTGCCGATGGTGCTTGCCGGCGCGTGGGACGAGAGCGCCGGTGCCGAAGCAGGGGGGCCCAACGACGTGTTCCACATCGACCTCTGCGGCGCGTACACGGCGACGATCGGTGGCAACCACTATATGCTCTTCGGTGTGGACGCCGCCACGGGATGGATGGTCTGCTACGCCATGCGGCGTAAGTCGGAGGCGCTAGCGGTCGTCAAGCGCATGGTCGTGGATGCCGCCCACAAGGCTGGTACCGCGATCAAGTGCATCCGCTGCGACTGCGATGCCCTCTGGACCAGCAGCGCCTTCAAGGAGTTCTGTGCCAGCATGGGGATCGCGCTCGAGTACTCCCCTCCCGGAGTGCAGCAGTACAACGGCGTCGTCGAGAGCGCCATCCAGAGGTGCCTCAAGATGGCCAAGGCATCCCGCCGGGCCGCCCAGGAGCTGCTTGGCCCCGCAGGATTTTCTCGTGTTCGCCTGCCTAGTGTTCGTGGCGATGAGCTCTGGGCAAAGTCCGCAAAAGACGCCGCACAGGAGCTGAACCAGTCAGCACCTCCTTCCAACCCCGGGGGTGCGTCGCCGCAGGAACTCTACACCGGCAAGGGAGGCCCTTTCAGCTTGATCCCGTTCTTTCAGTACGGTTTCAAGTGGGAGCGGCCGGCGACGAAAATGGACGACAGGGCCGTGCCGTGTTTTTTCCTCAACGCCGGGGACAACCACGCCGACGTCACGGTTAACGTGCTCAAGGAGAGGACCGGCCACGTGTGCTACACCTCGAATGTAGCGTCGGCGGCGCTCCCGCCGTCGGGGGGGGGAGGGTGCAGTACTTCACCAACACCCTCCGCGGAGACCCTACCCACGCCCCAGCATCTACTCTTCGAGACCGTCGCTTCGCCGCCGCCTGCTGCTGCCGCCGCCGCCTTCGGGGCCCGCGTTGTGGCCCGCGCCTTCACCTGGTGCTGCCGCTCCGCCGCTCCCGAGTGCGATCGCGTCATCGACATCCGCCGTCTCACCGCCGCCCGCTGCTGCTGCCGCCGCCGGACCGCCGCCGCCGCCGCCAGCTTCGGGGCCCGCGTTGTGGCCCGCGCCTTCACCTGGTGCTGCCGCTCCGCCGCTCCCGAGTGCGATCGCGTCATCGACATCCGCCGTCTCACCGCCGCCCGCTGCTGCTGCCGCCGCCGCCTTCGGGGCCCGCGTTGTGGCCCGCGCCTTCGCCTGGTGCTGCCGCTCCGCCGGTCCCGAGGCCGCCCGCGACATCGATATCCGCCGTCTCACCGCAGCCCGCTGCTGCAGCCGCCGCCGGACGTCGCCTTCGCCGCCGCCTTCGGGGTCTGCGCCGCCGTCGCCGTCGCCGCCGCTCCCGGGCTGGTCGTCCTCATCCATTGAGGCTGAGCAGTCCCCGCCGCCACCGCACGAAGACCGGTGGACCACACAGTCGGCGACCGCACCGGGGTACGCACCTCTCACGCCCATGCTTCGAGACTGAGGGGGGAGATCCGCGGATCCGAGGACGCACGAGAGCGAAAGCGCGCACCATCGCCCAGCAACTGCTTTCTGCCCTATCGGTGAACCGGCAGTTGCCATCACTGCCGGACGATGCCGTCACCACGCCTCTCCGTCCGACCGAGATCACCATGGGGCTGCTGGCTCAAGCAAACGAAGACGTCCTCCTCTCCATGCTGGATGCTCGGCGAGTCATGAACGGCAAGACAATGCTCCGGCCAGGATTGGAAGGGGGCGGCGGGAAGGGGGGTGGAGGCGAGCAGCTCGCGAGGAGTGAGGGATGCATGGGGAATGGTTGGTCGATCGGTCCGTCTGAGCGGGGCGTTCCGCTCGGACTTGTGGCGCGTGAGGTGTTTTGATTGCTAGAAGCAGACGCGTTTAGATTGTTGGACCGTAGCAGAGAATAGACAATTGCAAAGAGTCGAAGTTGATTTTTGATTGGAAGGTAGATGCGTTCGGCTTTCCTACGAAGGCCAAGGCTAGACTTGTTGCGAGGGGAGACATGCAGAAGGAGTACATTGATTTTGGTGATTTGTATGCACCCTTTGTAGCTTCATCTAGTGTTCGTATGTTGGCAGCTTTGGCGTGTGAGCTTCACTTGGAGTTGCGTCACTTCGATATCGACCAGGCTTTTGTGAGGGCCCCTCTCAAGGAAGATATTTTCATGCGACTGCCGGAAGGATGTGGTGCGTTATCGGGGAAGATAGTGCAATTGAACAAGAGCCTTATGGCTTGAGGAAGGCATCTAGAGAGTGGTACGCGTTACTGAAGAAGTGCCTTTTGGCTTTGGGGTTCGAGCAGTGCATGACTGATTCGTGTGTTTTTCGTTTAGTCGAAGGGGGGAAAGTAGTGTTGCTTCTCGAAGTACACGTAGACGATATTTTTGCAGTGGGGATGAAGGAGAGGTGTGATCAATTCGGCAAGGACCTGGGAGAGTACGTGCCAGACCCCGCACAACATGATCTACTCGACCACCATTATGGTTACCGCCAAACGTCGAGTGGGGGGAGGGGCATTCCTTTGCCCACCACCTGGAGACTTTGGGACTTCGACTTGGACGAGCCCGAGCGTAGAATACCCTTTTCGCGCGCTGGTCGGTTCGCTGTTTGTTGTGGATTGCCTTGTTGATTAGGCCGGATATCGCGAATTCGGTGAGAGCAGTGGCGAGGTTCTGTAGTGCACCGAAGTTGATCCACTGGAAGGCTGCACTTAGCATTAAAGGATATGCAGTTAGGACTAGTTCTTTGGGAATTTCTTTTCAGAGGGGGAGGATTTCGGGATTATCTTTGATTGCGTTTGTCGACGCGGATTACGTTTCACGTGCGGCAAACCGTAGGTCGGTTTCGGGAGGGGTAGTGATGTGTGCAGGAGGAGCAATTGCATGGTTCTCCAAGACTCAGAAGTGTGTGACTTTGTCTACCACGCAGGCAGAATACGTGGCGATGGCGGACATGGGGAAGGAGATGTTGTTTTTGAGGCAGGTTTGGCGTTTCATGTTGCCTAAGGAGTTGCGGCCGTGCACTCCCCTGTATGAAGATAACGAAGGGGCTATTATCCAAACACCCGATCTCGAATTCCAACTCGAAGCACATCCACGTGCGGCATCACTTCCTCAGGCAACTCGTAGATGAGAAGGAGGTAGAGATCATCCACGTAGCGTCGAAGGATCAGCATGCCGACTTCCTCACGAAGGCGCTACCTGAGAGAGAGTTTGTTTCCCACTGGGACTACGTGATGAACTTGAAGTGAATAGTCCGGGAGATCCTTTTCGTTTTTGGGTCTTGTGTTTTACATATTTTTATTTCCATTATTGGTTTTTGTGTTGATTTGTTTGATTTTGTGAAAAATCGAGTTCAAGATTGACCGGTGGAAATTGTCGCAAGTATTTCTGGTTTTAATGGTTGGCAAAAATGCAATCCGATAGGAATTCTAACGAATGTTTCTGGGAAAAGTGTTTTCGTGCTGTGACAAGAATGCAGTTTGGGATGAAGGGTATTTTTTGCACTACATTTTGTTTCGGTCAGGTATGTGGTATGTATGGGATGATAATAAGGATAGTATATTTAAGTCCGGGGGTGGCCTTGTCAATGCAGCGAGTAGGGGGGCTGTTAGACGTACTCACAGCATCGACAGATTATTGCAAGCAAGAAATTTCCGAACAGATGGAGCGGGGAGTTTCGGGGTTCAGCAGTTGCTTTGGATTCGATTTGATGGTACCAACTTTGCCGTATATTACAGGATTGAGGGTGGGGGTATGTGTGTGTCTACAACGGATATATATGGTGATTGTGTGTTGTGGTTTCTCACTTGTTTTTCTTTCCTCTTTTTCTTCCTTCCTGTGTGCAATGAAGTCCTTTTTCCCCGACTACCACGCTACCACGGCTATCACGCCCTATGGACATCCACGTCCTTTCATATTTTTTTTCACCACGACTATCACGTCACCAGGCTTCCACGCCACATCCAGAGATACCATACCCGAGCTATCACGCTCAATCCCAAAGTAGAAGGCTGTCACGCCCATCATAGTTCCTACACTGTACCGTTGGCGGCTACCGCGCCGCTGGCTCTTTTACTTCCCAACCAAGGAACCCCGCGCGCCAAGGCACCAACGCACAAAGCTACTCAACATCACTGCAAGGTACAGCATCAGGTGTCTCGATATAGTGCCGGTATGTGTCCAGGGGGGTGGACCGGCACCATACCGGCTACCGGCACTATTCAGGGTCTAAAAATGCATCAACAGTGCCGGCTTCGCACTAGTGACGACTATTCGACTTCAGGGTGCAGCGCTTACGTTTTGCGGGGCTGACAGAATAGTACCAAACGAACGGTATACGGATCAACTGTGGGGTAGGCGACGTGGGCGGGCTTCTGTAAGAATAGTGAGGCTGCTAGCCTATCGAAAACACAACTTTGGTCACATCAAGATAAACTTGACCATATACATTTGTTGCTCTGCTGTTCTCTTCCCACCTCAGCACACACTAAGGTAGAGAACGTCGCCGTTGCCTTCAAACCGTAAACCGTGCGGCCCGATCAAAAGGCACCTCGCTCTCAAATGATCTGTTATTGTTGCAAGAAGGCCGTACCACTATGCAGGCAACCTCAGGGGCACCCCTCGACAGCGAAAGAGAGACGCTCATCATGCGCGCACCCGATGTACGTTTGGGGGTAAAACATGAGTGTCGTGCTCCTTGCATGAGCACAACAAAAGCAGATGCAACCCAAAGGTGGAGGGGTGTGAAGAAGATAACAAAGTCCCCTGTTCCTTCGATAACAAGCAAGACAGACGATCAAGCCTTCAGGAGCAAGAAAAACGACTGGCTAACTAAGACGCGTCGTCAGGCTCAGTGCGGTTCAAAACAGAACACAAATGTTTCTGATGGCCCTGATCGGGGACCCCGTGAGAGATTGTCATGGACGAGACTGAGCTTTTACCGAACCTACAACCTGATACAGTACCATGTGTTCCGTTATTCTGTTCACAAAAAAATCCAGATATCCATACTTGGTGCGTGGTGCTTTTCTGCGTCGTGCAATCACTCGCCCCGCCCTCGACGCCCTACCCCACATACACCATTGTCTCTGCTTCCCCTCATCCCGCCCTCCGGATTCCTCACCTTTCGTTCTCGATATGTCGAATTCAATAGCCAGTGTCGGCAGCAGCTCGGGGCGGGCTCTCACCCCGCTCCGGGACCTGAACACCGCTGGTAGCTCCAACGCTGGCCGTGGCCGCTCCAACAACAGCGACTTCTCCCAGAGGTACGCAAAGGTTTCTTCCAGCCGCAGCAAGCGCAGCAAGTGTAGCGCTTCCACACGCCGCAAGCAGTGGCTACGGTCCACAGCGGCAGGCGCCGAGAACTCGGACGCCGTGGGGAGCGCCCTCGCCCTTGCCACGGTGCGTATTTTTTGTCGTTTGCTTAACCGATGAACATATGTTGTCTTTCTGTGAGTGTTGATTGCCGAGTGTTTTCCGAGCGTCGTGGAGTTACCCTGCCTCCTCCGTGTGCCATGGACCAACCGCATGAATTTTCTGGGCGCTCTTGTGCCGAATAACCCTCGCCATCGTTCGCGTTCATGCCAGCTGGATGGTTTCTCTTTGCCCCTCCCCCCCCCACCATATCCCCCCCGGTGCTTGCCATCGGGGTTGGGTTTTCGTCGCTTGGCAACGACGTTGTAAAACAAGCCACCCCCCCCGGTGTTTGCCATCGGGGTTGGGTTTTCGTCGCTTGGCAACGACGTTGTAAAACAAGCCAATTCACTTCGTGAACTCGGCAACCAGGTTACCCCTTTTTTTTTTTACCTCCGTTTTTTTTTTTGGCGGTAACCATAATGGTGGTCGAGTAGATCATGTTGTGCGGGGTGGAGAACCCTCACTCCGCGCAAGGGGGATGATCGCACCACGTTGTGTTAAAATGGTCAAGCACCCTCGAGGCAGTTACACAGTGCTTACAACTGTCTCTGGAAGTGAAAGCACGAGAAAATAAATTAAGTCATACGCAGCTGTCATCCGTACGCAAGGAAGTAAGCACAAGATGCCGAACACCCTTAGCAGGATGCAGCGCACCCTTCATGCGACTCGCCGAATATCTCACGGCGCTTCGCGCTTGGTGATGTGAGAGCCTGGTCCGGTGAGAACCCGGCGTGCTCCGTCCCGGCTTTGTAGGGATGCGAGGTCAATGGTCTAACGACTACGGCATGCACGACTATGAGTACACCCCCCCCCCACCCCCCCCCCCCGGTGTTTGCCATCGGGGTTGGGTTTTCGTCGCTTGGCAACGACGTTGTAAAACAAGCCGCCCCCCCCGGTGTTTGCCATCGGGGTTGGGTTTTCGTCGCTTGGCAACGACGTTGTAAAACAAGCCGCCCCCCCCGGTGTTTGCCATCGGGATTGGGTTTTCGTCGCTTGGCAACGACGTTGTAAAACAAGCCAATTCACTTCGTGAACTCGGCAACCAGGTTACCGTTTTTTTTTTTTTTCCTCCGGTTTTTTTTTTTTGGCGGTAACCATAATGGTGGTCGAGTAGATCATGTTGTGCGGGGTGGAGAACCCTCACTCCGAGCAAGGGGGATGATCACACCACGTTGTGGTAAAATGGTCAAGCACCCTCGAGGCAGTTTCACAGTGCTTACAACTGTCTCTGGAAGTGAAAGCACCAGAAAGTGAATAAAGTCATACGTAGCTGTCATCCGTACGCAAGGAAGTAAGCCCAAGATGCCGAACATCCTTAGCAGGATGCAGCGCACCCTTCATGCGACTCGCCGAGTATCTCACGGCGCTTCGCGCTTNTGAGTCCCCCCCCCCCCCTCCCCCGCCCCACCATCAACCCCGGTGACACTTTTTGTGTCATTCAATTTTGTATCCCGCTGAGGCTGCAAGGTAACTTCTTAGCTCGGTCGACGCTATGTTCACGCGCATGGCTATCTAATGCACTACAGTTTTAATTAAAGTCTGTTGCGTTGGCCTTCATTGCTTCCTTGTGAATACATGGGGTAGGTAAAACATTTTGAGCTGCCTTTGACAGTAGTAAGGAACGATTGGCCATCGGTGATCGCTCCTGTGTCGTTTGAAGGGCCTGTGGTAAACGGTGTATATCAGCTAGGTCAGCAAGACATTGTTCTGCCCCCTACCACACCTGGCCACCAAAGTACAGAACAATTACAATGCTCCAAGCTGTAACAATCTCTTAAATTGTGGGTGCATTTTGATCCCCCCCCCCCC